ACTAAAAAAACAGATGAAATTAGCGAAAAGACAAAGTCGAAAAAGAAACAAAAGATAATTACTGAAGAGAGGAATATTTGCAGCAATTTCATGTTTGGTCAGTTTTCGAACAAGCGGTATCTCAGTGCTCGTTTCAGTATTGGCAACGGTGGATGTTGGTTGGTCCTTTTGAAATCAAAAACGGAATATTATTTTAGATTGAATAATTATTTTCATTTAAAAAATGCTATTGTTGCTAGGAACCGAATTTGAATATATACTAGTCTCTCGTTAATCATGGGTCCATAAAACAACAGAATGTTAATTCTGAACCAATGTGGCAGTTAGATGAAAAACTATTTTCTTCTAGCAAAAACTTTAGCAGAAATAAAGTTCAAAATTAGAAAATTCTCTTTGGATATAGAGCGTATACGAAGTTTTCAATTTCATAAATTATTATGATTATGGGTAAAGAATGATCGGTGCTCATATCTGCCTCCGCCTCATTACTAGTCTCTATTTATTTGTTCACACTTGAACGGTTGGAATAAACAAATAGTTGAGAGATACACGTTTTTCGGATTAGTCTGCTGTGTTTTCATAATAAAATGCTTCCTGCAGAAAAGAATGACATGAAGATAGATTATGGTAGGCAATGTATAAGCACAATCTAAGAACTAGAAAGCTTTTTTGTTAATCTCAACAAGACTTCCAAAAGCGATCGTCCTATTCCGAACAATCTTTGATAATGATGATACTGAATCATAAAGGAAAATAACTTCGTACTTGAATAACATTATCGTTCGAGGCTGATTCGAGCATCAATTGCAATAGATCAATTCGTTTCGTATAGCCTAATTCGACGCGTTTCTTGATCAACTGTTCAGCTTGATTCTGTAACCACACCTCGGGATCATTACTGATAAATCTTCGTGTTATAGGTAAATAGTTAGTCAACCAATATCTAATAGAACTATCATATCGATGAAGCCCATTCCACAGCCATTTGATTTCAGGAATGAAATAAAATAAGATGATGAGCAGGGTAATATTATTCTCTTCGGTTGTCAACCGTTGTAATTGAACAAAATATGGATCATTCGGATTATTATGCATGTCAGTATCCAGACCGAATCCACATGACCAAATTGTATCCATTGTGAAACGTTTGAAAAGATCATAAATATCAAATGGTTGATCACATCGATGTTGTTCAGCTAATCTATCCATGAAAGAATCAATACTTCGATTGATTAGCGGAGACATTTGTTTGAGTTTCAATGATGAAAATGTTGGATTAATGACAAATCGTTGTCGTTTCCAACGAAGACCGGTGGCGGCGAATAGATGAACATTTTTTGCGTGAGGATCTGCGAATGGAAAATAGCGACGCGAAGCAAAACTAGAGAATGATTTGATGAATACATCTTGTAAAATATCCGGATCCGAGACGACAAGAATGGGTGTGTGTCCTTCAAAATAGCCGAATATACGACCATATTTTTTCGTCCATTCTTGAATCTTTAATGAAAGACGCTTTGTTTGGAGAATTTCTAAAAAGTTACCGACAAAAAATCGTGGTGATGGACCAGGAATGTTCAGACGAGTGAAGAAACTGTAGGCTCGATGAACGTGCCAACCATAGAAGACTATCAAAATGAGTAAAATGGCAACGAATATACCTGTGAGCATGGCTTTATTCTACTCCTGTCTCTGCCTGTTTTTGTTGTAACACACAGTTGTAATCAAAGCGTTATCGTTCTTGTTTTTCTTCACATTCTTGAAGTGCATATTTTCACCTTTCTTCTCTTCTCATACCCTCACGTGATACATACTATTGGAGGATTCTTCTTTATTCCTTTTCTATGCTCGTTTTTATTCCAGATGACCCGAAACAAGAATATTGATTGACTAAGAAAAGAATCAAAGAATGTGAACAGAACAAAACATATGTCGATAAGAACGGAATGTGTGAAGGTATATAAGATATATACCTATAACATATTTCCCCAGCGACAGAAATGTGGATCTATATGCATTCGA